ATGCCGCCATTAAGGATATACTATGTGTTTTTGTAAAATTTTTTATATTTTAGTTGCTACAAACCCCCGAAAAATCGACTTTGTGCGCGCAGGATAAGAGACTTAGTAGTGTCATTTTCTGAACTTTGCCAGAGACTTTTTTCTTGACTTAGTAGTGTCGTTTTTTGAACTTCACAAGCACATACTATGACAATACAAATATTTATACTATACTACGATTCCCTTTGATAACGTTTTCTAAATACAAAATAATAAAAATAATTTTATTACCTATACATGACAATATTTTCGTTTTCACTGAAATGAATCAACATATAATCGCGATAAGTACAGACGGACCGACATACATGACAATAACGAAAGAAAATTTAAATAAATGTATCAATATACACAATTCATATTTATGCGAACTCTATAGTCCTATATATATTGTAAACACGAATTCTCTTTGCAAAATATAAGCGTACTCACACATAACAAAAAATACAGATAATTGCAATAAGCGTTATATTAAGAATAATCAAACATTATGGATAGCATTAAGAACGCCAAATACGTGTACTCTACACTTAAGGAACAACAAATATATATACATTGTAAAAGTAATAAAGAAACTGTTGTAGTAATTAAGCGAACAGGAAAAATAACGTTAAAAGAAAACTGTAAGGTAATTGCAACAGATATGACAATAAAAACAAAAAACTCTGAGCAAACCGCAAATATACAAACTTATTTACCAAATTTCAATTTAACATTTAGCAAAGACCAGAGTATACAAAATAAGAAAAATCCACTGCAAGGACTAAAATTTAAAAAAATCATACAAGATCCAAAAGGATTGATGGACTTCAGTGATAAACTTGAGAAAATAAATAAAGATGTTAACGACAATCTAAAAAAATCCATTCGCAGAACGAGCATTTGTCTATCCTATGACAACAAGTAGCATAGCTGTTGTAATTGCCATAATACTTGCGATTATGTTAGGAATAAAACTATGGAAAGAGCGAAGTCCATTTTAGAATAAATAAATGGAGTCTCAAGGTTACGAAAACTCGTATCTCCTCGTTTTCTTTTCTCAACGGAGGGAGGATGTTGTGGGTCCAGAGAACCACAACCAATTATTAATTAATAAAATATATATATTAATAAAATATAATTATATAAGAATATCTATTACATATCAGATTAAGATATCAGATAAGAACGCTGACGATTCAGTGCGTTTCCGGCTCGTGCGAGACACCGGAGAATCGCGCAGCGAAAATGAAAACCTAATTCGTTCTTAACGCGAGAATGCTGATGAATTATATCCGTCAGCAAGTCCGATCAAAAAGACCTTTAAAACTACAATCAATTGCAGTTTCGCGACTATAAAATCGCCGTCGCGAGATCACGACGGCGGGTCGACAATTAGCAATTAAACAGAACGGACGTATGTCCGTCGGGACCACGAATTAAAAAGATCGCGAATTATAACGAATCGCTGAAGCGAATACGAGTAACTTGAGGTTCCGTGAAACTAAAACTAAGACCAGGATTCCTGAAACGGAACCTGGGTTATCTATTAACAAGGAAACTTGTAAAATAACGAGACCAATAAATATAAGGAAGATTAGTTTTATTCAAAGCAACTAAGAATTATTTCCCGGATTCTCGGCCTAACTCCTCGGCAGATCCCAAACCTGTGCCCTACCACCAAAAGCACAACAGTGTAAATTAAAAGAAAGAATGTTATTAATATATATGAGTGTTTTCCAACTAGAACACGCTAAATTGCACTGTGTTACACCGTGTGAAACTTTTGTTGGAACGATAAAGTGTAAATGTAATTTCTAAAAAATCTCAGTAGAGGGCATTATAGTTCTCCATTTTTATTACTAGGAGAGATTGACATTATTGTAATTATTGTAACAACGAAATTAGAAGAGATTGACATTATTGTAATAACAAAAAATTATTGTAATTAATTTTTATAGTTAACCAAATTTTGAATGAGGATATATTTTGATTAAATTTTGTTTTAATTTACTTTTATGTGAATTGCAGATGATGAATCGTAAGGTTATATTTACTTTGAAACTGCTGAGATAAGTAGTGATAGTGATACTTCAATAAGCAGTAATGTTAGCGAATTAAGTAATTCTTCGACGGAAAGCAATTGGACAGATGAAGAAGATGTGCTTTTTTTTCCTTTAATGAAATATCTAACTTCTGGAGTGAAAAAAACAAGGGTTGAAAATTACCTGGCAATTGTAGAATCTTGGACAGATTTAGAATTCAAAGAGCATTTGCGATTATCAAGAAGAATAGCTTATCAATTAATTCGTAAGAAAAGTACATTTATAATCATTTATTTAGAAATAGAAAAAAGATATATAAATAATATATGAATATTATAATTCTGAATAAATATTATAATTTTAGATGAAATTGACAATCTCCTCTTATTCCGCAACATTCATTTGGAAGAAAACCAATCTCAGGAAAGCTGAGTTTTTTGATATTTTTATGGTTCATGGCCAATACAGAACCATTAAGAACAATTGCAGATCGCTTTGATGTATCCATATCATCAGTATTTAGAATTATTCGGCGAGTAATCGCTTGGATTTTAACTAAGATGGATATTATTAAATGGCCAGAAGATGATCATATTTGGACTGTATGCGATAAGTTTTTTCTAAAAAGAGGAATTCCAAAAGTGTTAGGAACAATTGACTGCACTCACATATGCATAGAAAAACCTGCTGTAAATGCAAATAATTATTGTAATCGTAAAAAATATTTTTCTATAAATCTACAAGCTGTAGTTGATTCTGAAATGCGATTTACAAATGTATATTATGGTGAACCTGGATCTTTACATGATGCTCGTGTTTTAAGAAGATCTTTCCTTTATAATGCAGCAAATGAAAGTAGAGAAACGTTATTTCCTCAAAATACTTTCATAATTGGTGATTCAGCATATCCATCATTGCCATGGCTTGTGCCACCATTTCATGACAATGGTCATTTAACTCCCCAGCAAATAGAATTTAATTACATGTTATCATCAACAAGAATAGTTGTTGAAAGAACATTCGGTTTATTAAAAGAAAGATTTCGTCGCATAAAATTTTTTACCGAATACAGACATATTAATTTTATTACAGATGTTGTTATTGCTGCATGTATTTTACACAATTATTGTATAAATGAAAATGATATTGACATTGATGAATATTATAAAGATAATGATTGTAATGATGATGTAGTCGATAATATTAATGAAAAAGTCGATAATAGAATCGTGATGGATCGAAAAACAATATTATTCAACGAGTTATTTTCTTAAATCGTAGTTACACATGTAAAGATAAAGTTAAAAAAATATGTAATCTCTTTTTTATATAAAAATACTACTCTTTATTTCTTTTATCAAGTGGCATATAACAAACATGTATTATAATAATGTTATAAAATATATTAAATTATAGACACAAAAATGTCCTTAAGCCTCTTTTTAAACATAAAATAATCCTTCTTAATCTTTTTAAACATAATAATCCTTAATCTTTAAGTCTCTTTCTAAACATAATCCTTTTTAAACATAAAACATAATTTTAATCTTCAAATTTTTTTTATAATTTTTAATTTCTCTTCTTGTTTCTCTTCTTGTTTCTCTTCTTATACTTAAAGTAATATTTATAGTAATATTTATTTATATCACAAACTTTTATATCATGTAACACCCAATGTAAAATTTAAAGAAAATAAAAATGAAAAATAATCTCAAGTATTCGTGCATACATATTATAAATCATAACTAATGATTAAAAATTAAAGAAATAATTTAAAAAGTATTCGAAAATTAAACAATAATAACTTTGCTTATTCTGAGTCACAAGCGCCGTGTGATCGAGTCGTAATAGTTGGCACACGACGGAGCGCCTGTCGGTGAGTGCGTTCGTAGAGTGTCGCGAGTCTCCGTTCAATAATAGATCGATGCGAACTGCTCGGCGGCACGGATTGGTCGACGCGGTTTTGCCTGCCGGACGGATTACGATTTGCAATCCCGGCGAAGAAACGCGATATTTGGATCATGAAGCCGATTACGCTCGGCGGGAGTACGAGAACGTTCGTACGAAGACGGAATTAGAACGGCAATCCGGCTAGGTACACGGAAATGCCCGTTGCACGAAGATCGGTGCCTAGAGGGGCCGAGTACGCTCGGCGGGAGTGCGAGGACGCTCGTACGAAGGCGAAATTAGAACGGCGATCCGGCTAGGTACACGGGAATGCCCGCTGCACGAAGATTGGTGCCTAGAGGAGCCGAGTACGCTCGGCGGGTATACGAGAACACTCGTATGCTGAGGCAAGAATACCGAGGACGCTCGGCGGTACACGAGAACGCTCGTGTGCTGGAAAAAGGCATAGAAGCCGAGTACACTCGGCGGACTACGAGAACGCTCGTAGAGAGATGTTCGCTGTCTAGCAGCGAACAGGATCTGGTGCACAGATCATATAAGTAAATCTGGTGAGAAGACGTACAGCCGGGCCTCTTTTATACCCGGCTGGCGGCCGATTGGCTTCGGATCGGCAAGCATCGGCGGTTTCGGCGGCGGGCCCCCACTAACGGAATTTCGGAACGGTCGGATGTGAGGGTCCGTTCGGCACTTGACCGCCGTTGTTTTTGATGAAGCTTTATCGGCGCTCGATGCGCCCTTGGTGGGCTACGGACGATGGACGGTAGCCGTAACGATGCAGCTTGCGGGCTGCACCGTTACAACTATCAGTCTTAAAATGTTCTTTATCATTTAGTAGTTTTTTCAATAAATTGCACTTTAGTTTTTCTATCTCTAATATTTCGTTATGTCTTTTTTCTTTGGATTTTATTTTATTTATTGCAACTGTCTTTTTTACTTCTAATTCTTTTTCGCGCATTTCTGTATATTTTTTTAATTTTAAAGATTCTTTTTTTGCTTTTAATATATTTTCGTCACGCTCTTCGCGTCTTTTTTCTTTTTTCTCCATATATTCTAACCACAAGTTCTCAAATTAATTTTTGGTTGTGTACTTGTAAATTTTATTTCACAAGATACTTTCATGCGAGCGCACGCACTTTCTTTATTTTCATAATTAATATTTTTTGAAGTATTAGCTGAAATGTTAACTAAATTATTAGCTAAAGCACTAGTTGAAATATTAGTTGAAGTGTTAGGTGAAATATTAACTGAAGTATCTTTAATTTTTTGTCTTTTTGATGTGTGTGATTGAATTTCCATTTTATTACTTGAGTTTTTACTTATTTTTAAGGGTAAATTGCTTGATATTAAGTAAGTAGCAACAGCAGCTTTCTTGCATCTAAAAATGTTTTTCATTTCATTGAAGAATTCAAAAGACATAGGACTTCTTCCAGATTTTAAATTATTATCAACACATTCTTTATATTTTTTCATGAGATAATTCATACTCCATCTGACTTGATCACTTGACATCTAAGAAATAAGAAAAGAAATAAGTAATATAACATTTGTAATTCTTGCAATATTAATATGAAAGTAATATTTATATAAAATTTATTTTAATATTGAGATCGAGTAAGCCTCTTGAAATTGCAGCCCAAATTTTTGTTTTTCTTCTGGGATTATCTAGCATATTGACATTTGCTTCATCTAATGTTAAAAGTGCAAGTGTTTTATTTTTAGTCCATATTGCATCTAAAATATTATTAAAAGATGTATTATCAACTAAAATTATTTTCAAATAATAAAAGTTAATTACATTAAATTATGTGTTTAATGCAATGTACCTTGTTTAATTCTTTTTTGTTATGATCTTTAACTTGATCTTGATCGTGGTTTTGGTTTTGATCTTGGTCTTGGTCTTGATCTTGGCCTTGAGAAAAACTTTCTTCAGATGATAAAACATTATTTACTATTAAAAAAAAACATTAAAAGTCAACTAAAATATTATTGGTACGTATGATTTTCTGAATATATAAAATTAATTTCATATAATATTTATATATTATTTCTTACACGTATACGAACAAGATTTGCTAACCACTTCTGCAAATAAAACATTATTCGGCATATAAACTTCTTTTCCAAAGAAATAACTATGATCAGAAACATGATCCAATGAAGCAATTGCGTTGTTACAATGTTTGCACGTGAATTCTGAAAAATATAATAAAATATGTAACAAATGTTTTATTGATAATAATAAGTAATAAAATTTGTATTGCATATTTTTTATTGTATTTTTTAATGTTTTATTTTACCATTAACTTCCAAAATATGATCTATTGAGATTAAATCTATAGAGATAGAGCTTCACAATTTTCAATCTTGTACTCTCGTTCTCTCGTATCGTTGTATTATTACATTTATAGGTTATGATCAAAAGTATTACCATCATTTAAAATTATAAGATTTCTTAAAATGTTGGTAACACTGGGACATTTTACACGCTTCTACTTAGCTTTTAGCGTTTTCGATTATACAGGATTTGAACGACCCAGGGTTGATCAATCACTATTTTACTATAAATGCAAGTCTTTCATTGGTGGAGAGGTTGCAATGACGTCATTAACCAACCCTGGGTCGTTCAAATCCTGTATAATCGAAAACGCTATTTGAAAGTTCTCCGAGTAGTTTTCTCGACGACAAACGGCACGAGACGGCAGGACAAAAATCCTACTAGTTCTTTAAGCAAACTTGTAGCTGAGATGTATGAATAAATCACTACTTTTAAACAGTATAACAAATGGCCTTTATTTCCATCAGCTAATACAGAATATCTCGACTATCGTTCGACTCTAGTTTCTCGGTATAATCGACGACTCTAATACAATAAACGCGGCTGATCTTTATGCCGGTTCCGAACAGAGTGGTTCACCGAATTTCTCTCCGGATAATCTTGCTCCTGCGGAAGATTCTGGATCGTTCTCGATCCTTCGGCGGATCCGGCAGCGCGCGCATGGATCGATCTGCCACATCGATCATTCGAGAATCGAGTTCTTGCGATTCGATACCTCGCCTGGTGCCTTATGGGCGCCGTCTATTGGCCGATCGAAAAAATACCTTACAGCTCGGCCATTCTGCCAATGTACTACGCTTATGGCCGGTTTATGCTTCGGTCTTAATCTTAATCTTAAGAGTTGATAACGTAGAATGCCATAAGGGCGTTTATACTTCCCTAGTCTTAATCTTAGTCTTAATCTTAATCTTGGAAAGATCCCATCTTTTAACTTTAGTCCCTAATGTCCTAAGGCCGGGCCAATGAGGTAAGTCTGACGTCCGACGCAGCACGAAACCGCGCGAAATAATGGTTTTCGATTTTTGTAAAATACGAAAATGAGTGATGCTGATTTAATTGAATGTGTCCAACAATTCGATGTTGTTTGGAATAAAAAAAATCCAAATTATAAAAATAAATTAGTGATTAGGTTTTGTTACATTTGCACATGCGTAGTCCGAATTTCCAGGGAAGCATAAACGAGTCCTTAAGATTAAGTTAAGACTAAGACTAAGATTAAGATTAAAGACCG